ATATAATATGTATATAGTAATATGTATAAATAATAAATTATATAGATAAGCTTATAAACTTTTTGATTATTTGTATGCATTCAAAACGTGCAATGTTAAAATATTATTTAAATTTAATATCTTCATGAAGATAATTCGACATATGTATTTAAATATTTTAAAACTAGACTTAATCTTAAAACATTAAAATGTATTTATTCTCAAAGTTCGTCACAGACGATCTAGATTAGAGTTAAAAAAAWTTGAATAAGCTCTTTAGTTTYAAATGAATTAAAAAGAAAACCTCTGTCAGAAAACTCAGAAAACTTAATAAGTTAAGAACTTCGTTTTTAATATCACGTTTCATAATATATAATATGATGACCAACATTAATCCCGAACACTGGAAAATCTTTGAATTTAAAATGTTCTTGATTTAACTAAGATAATCATACATAATATTATGTATGTCGTATTGTTTTCTGAATAAAGCATCGCCTTATAAAATATTCATTAAAATACTTATTATTATTTTGTTTGTTTCCTTTTACCAAAACTTTTAATTACTAATAATTTGTACATAAAATAGAATTCAGTTTCAGTTTCTGAATTGCACCATACGGCATATACATAATTAAAATTTGTCAAATTAATTATTCAAATCATCATGGATCGAACGAAGACATTCGTAAGATTAGATAAGGTTAGTTTAAACATAAATTAAAAACATCTGTCATTATTTTTCTTTCAATCTAACCATGAAACTATTATTATAACTTTTATTAAAATATATAACACCTAATTAAATAATCAATAAAGGTTTTATGAACAAAATTTCAGAAASATAATAATCAATTTTACAGTTTCAATATGAAAAGCCATAATTAATAGTTATCATTTAAAAACGAAACCAATACTGTTTGAACAAAAGTGTATTACGAACGATGAAAAATATAATATAGACTAGTATTTTTTTTAAATAAAAATTACAAAATCACATAGCAGATTAAAATAAGCCCCGTATGAGTAATATGTTGTTTAATATTATCCCACCTACGACCCACGTCTTACTTTAAAACTATAGTTAATATGTTATCGGAAGTTAGAAATCAAAATTATTGGTTGCCAAATAAAAACCAAAATTTAATGACTGTCCTATCGAACGTTATTGTTATTTTAAATTTGTTTATTAGAATAGTCAATATGCAGTGAAAACGTAATTTTATTATGTAATAATAATGCATTTTTTGTGCAAAGTAGTAAGTACCTATGTGGCTACGTATATATTATATATATAAATCTTATTCTTAAACCTCGGGATAAATCTCGAGATGGCTAATACAAATTGTAACTGCCAAATATAATCAACTAACTATGTAATACATTTTTCAGATATATTAATTACACCGGGTATTAAGCGGTGTCGGCGGGAAAAGTTCTTGCCAGTAAATTTGTTATCACAATGTTATTTGTTATTATTATTATGGCTATTTACTCGGATTTCTAAATATTCGAGCACCCGGCATTCCCCGTCAAAAACGTTCTGCATAATTTCAAATCCTACACGCCACTGCAGATGACATAAACTATGTGTACAGCATAATTAGATAATTACCTACACTGGGTATAGAGYATAACTGGATACCTACGTGTTTTACTCTCGTCTCCAGGTCGGTGTTATATTAATGCATATTGTGGAGTTATATTATTTACGTAAATAAAATATACAACACTATAAATCTGTATGACTTGCGTCTTACCTGAGCGATTTCTTGTTTCGGTTTGACGGTGATCTGGTAACGATCGAACCACTACTGAAATCGGCGCCTACGCCGCCTAACAGGTTAACTACACACACACACAAGCGCGCGGTTTATCGACGGTGAAAATAATATTACTAAACCGGTATGCGTGTGGAGGTCATGGACGCTATATTATTATATTATATTATATATATATATATATTATTATTATTATACCTGCAATACCTATATTTGTTATCCGTCTGTGTACAGTTATACGACGAGGACAAGACGGAGCGGACGGTAGATGGTACTGATTTTTTTTAAATATACATATTATATTTTAATTGTTTTTAGGCAGCAGTTTTGAAGAAAAGTGTATCGAATGACTGTTGTGCTGATGGTCCAAAAAATACAAAATATAAGTTAAAAATCGATCAGATACCAGTATAGGACGATACTATAATTTGTATTTTTGAAATAATCTTCTTGCTTATTAGGTATACTTATAAACTGCGATTATTGACGACCATAGGCATCAACTGGAGTAAATTCTCAAGAGGGGGGACAGGCTGTGGTAAAAATAAATCTATAAGGTAAGATGACACTATTCCCCACTCAATTATATATCTAAGGGGGCAGTTGCCCTCCTTGTCTTGCCCCCCCCTCAAATTACGTATATCATACAAAAAATTTCATCTGGGCATGCGACAATGTGAAATATATTATAAATAAAGTTATGTGTTTTACAACTATTAAATTATTTGCCTACTTAACTCACTAAATAATCATGTTGTATAGGTATATGACTCAACCACGGATAGCCTACAAAATTGCCTATATAACTGTAGTAAAATTTTGATAATTAATTATTGATGATCATAATTTATGACGGAGGTTTAAAAATTATAAATCTTTAACAAATTTGAAATTGGTAATCACAATATGATAATATTTTACTGAAAAAAATTAATTGGATGCCGTCATCGAATAAACGATTATGAAATTTTTAACTAGTGGCTGCCGCAATCTGTTTTTGTCGTAGTCACTTTTAATTTTTAAACCAAAAAATCAATTATTTTACACAGCCTCTCTCGTACGGGCAGTGACGAAAATTATGTACGTACTGATACGCGTATAACACAATAATAATATGTATAGTATCAATATTATTATAATAACGCGTATTTAATTTGTATATTATATTATTATAATTATTATAATACGAAACACTCAATTATCGATTATACGTGCATATTACCTATAATATCATGCGCGTGCGTCGTTTTTATTTCAAAAGTACAAACTAATTCATACATCGATAACTTAAACGTAATAATATTTCTCCGTGCATTCGCGCCGTATTATGATAAAATTACTTTGCACGTTTTTACGGAGTTAGATACGTATAGTCAGTGATGTTTTATAAATGTCGCGTACCGTGAAAATATGGTCGTAGCGAAACATCATTGCTATACAACTACACTTGCACCTTTACGTCTTCAATAGACTCATATAATAGACAGGAGGATTGATTCAAAAAGAATTCCACATCTTTGAAAATCYGGACCTCAACAGCTAAAAGAAGAAATGGAGAGTTGAGCGCTATCAGATACTGTTGCCGTTGAGAGATGTCCCCGGGAGCGTCCTTCACCGAGTAACCTCGGCTCGACCGTTCTTATTAGTTTGTGATAAGATGGCAACTACTCGACTATCGGGTTAACGTCACTTGAACGTCTCAAGGGAGCCACATTGAGTGTCTGTAAACATCATGTCTTCAGCTGAAAAAAAAACATTATTTTGTACTCTTTAATAATTTACATTGACCAAATACCCAAAGTATTACATCATGTTGCTTTTAATAAATACAGGTTTTCAAAGATATGATATTCATCTTGAACCACCCTGTATTATATATAGTATAGTTCAGAAATAAAAACCAACCGTGTTTTCAATGGAGGTATTWGCATATTAAAAACGATTAACTGTTTAATGTTTATATTATTGAACTGTGTCTTAATAAATTGTGTTGGCAGGTATTCAAATTGTGTTAATGTGTTTATTTATTGCATACATATCCCGTAGTTAGTATTACGTACTATAATATAATAAAACGTATTCATTTGACAATCACTATAATAGTTCAATAAGTACTTACTTATTTAAAAACTCGTTTATTAAAAAATCCAATTTAGAGGTGCTTATTGTAATATTAACTCCTTATTATAATCATCTCAAAATTTTAAATAAATTTACCTCAACTCTCACGACAACGGATTTCATTTAAAAATAAATAATTTTAAACAAATGTACACAACTAGTGATATTAAATGTAAAATTAATCATTTATTACGATGTACGTATGTATAGTGTAGATGTGAGCTTGTGCGTGCTTTTTCATTTAGGGGTTAAATTTATCAAAACAAAGTACGTAATATGCTATAAATTTACATTATAAGCTTACGTACAAACCTATTTAATGGGATTATTAATATGTTTTATTATTATTATGTAAATTTATCAGGTGTATAACGAATAAATACTGCAATCTTACATTTATATATAATAGGTACATACATATATAAATAGCTAAGTACAATATTGTATACATTTGTTATTAAAATTATTGTTTGATATATTTATTATTAAAATTAAATTGAACTGTTGTAAACAATTACATTATCAATTATGATTATTATAAATTGTAAAACATTGCAAAAATACTTGATGTATTGACACAATTAAATTAATAAATACTAATAAAAACAAAATTAAATTAAATGTYACACAATTAACAACTTTTTAAACACCCTTACACGATTTTCACTGGTAAAGTTATACGTAAATCAAATTCATGCAATATATATTAGAATAACAATCAAGATGGTATCAGATTTTTAAAATTTAAAACTAAGGTGTATTGTAATTATTTTGAGTGTATTTACTACAATCGACGCTTCATGTAGGTACTTATTTCTGTTGGTACATAAAATCTGAACTTTAAAATAATTATTGTACCATTTATACTTATATTACATTATACGTTTATATTCAACACAGATGTTAAAAACTTAATTGAAAAATAATCTAAATTTAATGCCATTAGTCATTACTCATTTTACTATAAATTCATATTTTTCTGGATACATTAATCATCTTAAATGCATTTTATATAGATAAATTAATTAAAGTTAACATCCCTACGGAAACCAATAAAATTAAGAAAAACTTAATTCTATTAATTGTAGGTACTTTTAAGTATGTATAACATCTATGATCTAAAAATTACGGGCTATTTTAAAGCTTTTTTAGCTTCAAAACCAAAGTCAAACGTTTATATGATGGCTCTGGTTCTATCATTTTTAGCAAAAAAAAAATAAAAAAATACACAAGTTAGAAAAAAAAATACCAAAAAATTGGGGTTCAGTTAAGTAGGTAGAAATAAAAGTTTACTAATCTAAGTCTACAATTTTCTAATTTTCCTAGAAAAACTTGGTTATTGGAAATTATGATATCCAATTTTGGTTACTTTATGTAATCTTTTATTTCACGAATAACTGTAATACGATTAGGTATACATTTATGATGTTTTTTTAATGAATCCGTATATTATTGTTTATTCGTACAAATACTTGTATAATGATATGGAGAGCCATGCGTTGGTGTGAATCACCTTTTTATGTGCCTAATAAAAAAAATTTGTTAACATGAGCGAGTTCATTATATTGTGCTCCAGCGTGTATTATATATACAATATAGATTAWAGACTATAAAAGATATTATTGTGACATTGTAGAGATTAAAATCAAATATTATATTATGCATTGTATCACGAGTATTATTTTTATATCAACTTAAATATAATTAAATAATTAAGGCTCAAATATCACTATCAAACGAACAAGAGAAACGTGAACACGTTATAGTGTAGTTGTTAATACTTAATTATTATAAGTTATTATGTGCAATGTTCCAAATATTGATTTTAAAATTGAAAAAATATTTACTATAAAACGCAAAAACKATGCATTTTAATTGAAAATTTTAATTTATCAATACTAATTATTTGAAATACGCAACCTTCCTTTACTCCGTGTGATTCGCGGGAAGTCCAAGTCTGCCGAAAAAAAAAGGATTAATAAAATACTATCCATCAAACGCATCACATTTCACTGGATATTAAAAAACGTGACCTAAACATATTACAGTGTTTTAAAATCACTCACCCAGAAGCAATTATACCAAATTGCCCAAACCCATTGCAATTTTTACAAACTCACTCAAACRCAAATCACCCATTATGATGGTGAAATCATTATGTAWMA